ATCAACGTTTGGCACTCAATAACCTCTTATCGCCAGCGATTGGTATCGCAGACAATATTGTTGTTGACATCGGTTTTTGGGGGTATTGTTTGGCCCCCGAGAAAATGTACACCGATTTGTATTCACACAATCACTTTATACTCTATTTCATTGTATAACTGATGCTTAAAAAGACGCGTTAGATGTGAAAGATATACACCAAAGATACTGCATATATGCGTGAGAGGAGAGAGACTATTTGAAACTACTACTTATGCTTGGGTGCTATTTGCCTCTCTCTCTCTCTCTCTCTCTCTCGTTCACACAATCACTTGAACAGTATTGACCACTACCTCCTAAAAGGCATGATTTCCCACTCAAAAGATATAACACAACACAAACAATACGCTTAACATCACATACTCTCACAAAACGTTTGTGGACTCCAGTCCTTCTCTGTCATACAATTGTGTGAACAATCGCCCTATGGTTGAAGTGTAAGCGAATTAAACACATCTTTCGGAAGTTAATACATGTATAGTGTATGACATTATGAGTGCTCTCACAGTATTGCAGTCTATGGAGTACATCATATAGTTTAATAAATATATATATAATATTATACATCGATGAATTATGTGCAGACCTACACATATATTGCAGATATGCTACGGCTGTCGCTCATCGTTGGCCACCGCACCGATAATCGCATCCGTGTCCGGTCACCATCAGTGGCACATCAATTGTCTGAGGTTTGCCATTCACTTCACTATAACAATCATCTTTGTATTCAATATTTCCTCTTCCAATACAATAACACACTATTCTGTGTCCGTATTCTCAATGCTATTCAATGAAAATTATATTACAATCAAATATGATATAGAATTGAGAGCAGCAATCGTTTTGATGGCAAATGTGTGTAACGTTTATATATTGCCTAAAAATAATGTTGCTTTCAATAGTTGTCAAAGAATCAGATTTAGAAATACAATATTCTATATTATATTCCGTATTGTATTGTAATAATAGTAAATGTTATCATTTTAATAATTTAATACATATTAGCAAAACTAACAAATTATTAAAACAATATGACATTCGGTGTTTAATATTTTTAAAATAGTAAACTTATCTTAACTCTAGCCATAGAAATTGTTAATGTTAAAGATATTTAGAAAGAAACTTATATAGATTAAATAAATAAGCGATAAGTTTAAAACAATTAATATTTCAATTGTTTTATTAATTCAACAAATTAAATTAAATACATTGGCCGGTTGTGGCCGTACAGGTGCTCGGAATGTGACCAATCTCTCAGCCATTGTCGGTCGTGTTATCTGAAAAACGGTCGCATATATTGTAAAACCGATTATTCAAAACTAATCAACCAATTGATCAAATGCTCCAAATGTTATCGACAGATATCGGCCTCCGATTGGGTATGATTTAACAAATCGTTACTATTATTATTAATTTATTTATCAATTTTTTAAAATAAGTATATAATTTGGTTTTGTTCTTAATTGTTGTGTTTTTTGTAATTCAAACATTAGGTGCGAAGAGCCGGCGCCTATGTCTACCATTTAGCGTGTTTTGCCTGTGATTTATGTCAGCGCCAGTTAAGCACTGGTGAACAGTTTACTATCGATAACCAGACAAATGAAAGCAAATTATTGTGTAAATTACATTTTGGTATCACAAACGATGGTAAATCTCTCTCTCTCTCTCTCTCTCTCTCACAATACAGGGGCAGAGGGTTTGCATTGATATATAG